TGGGGACTGGTGCAGGCTGGGTCAGGCACATTACTGAGCAGTGGGACGTTGTCCTGGACATGGGCAGCCGGCGGGGGCTGCAAGTGGCCATGTGCTGCCTCCCAAACTCCTGCTCAGACCCTTGTGCTTCTCACCCTGCTCTGGGCCTGCCAGCCCCCTCCCTAGCCTGATACAGACCCCCCGTGGCACAGGTGGGCGCCAGCTCCAGGCCACGTGTGGGGTAGGAGCTGTGAGCTGGTAGCAGGGAAGGGTGCAGGCAGCCCAGGCGCGCCGGGTGCCCAGCACTCCCACAGCAGCAGCAGCAGCAGACAATTAATTAGCAGGGCGGTGGGAGAGCAGCCGCCGGAGCTGTGCGGGATCGATGGGTGCATCGACCGCCCGGGAAACACCAGCCCTCCCAGCCAGAAACGTGGTGCTTGGGGCATGCAGGGAGCCTGGTGGGGAGCCTGGCAGCCCCCAGCCTCGCAGAAGGGGATGGCTGTGAGCTGGAGCATCACCAGCCCCTTGCAAGGGCACACCAGGGTGCACAGGGCCTGGAGGGAAAGGACAGGCATCAGTGGTGCTGCCTGCCATGTGCCCTGCACCTCAGGGCTGACAGCTGCTCCCCTGTGAACCAGGAGAGTGGCTGGTCCCTATGTCACACTGGGAGGATGAGGGGGTGGTGTGCTAATGGATCTGTGTTGGTCCCTTGGAGCTGGTGGCATCCACCTGGGGAGCCAAGGGAGGGGGCTGCGGGCAGAGGCTGCACAGAAAGCACGGGCACAGCAACTGGGGCAGGAAAAGGCCCGATGGGCATGTGCCAGCCAGCTGGGGGCACCCAGATCATAATGTAGGTCCAGCAGAACACACCCCACAGGGGTGGTGGCACTGCCTGCCACCTGCACAGCCCCGTGCTGCAGCTATGCCTGCAGGTCTGCGTCCATACAGCTCCCAACGCTGTCCCCATCCCCATCCCTGTCCCCATCCCATCCACTTGCTCCCCCCGCCTGCCTCTACCAAGCGAGAAGTGCCTGCCCGTCCCTGCGGGGAAGGAGAGTGCTCAGCCGTGTTGTAGAGCCTGGTATCCACCCAGATGAGAAGTGACAGCAAAGGACCCTTCTCAGGTACAGGCTCCCTGAGGCGCAAGGCAGGAGATACTGTCCCTGTCTTCCCCTCCTCTGCTGCTGGCACTGGGAAGGACCCTGCAGGCACTTAACCCCTTCCCCACCAGCTGTGCAAAGAACCTGTGCAAAGCTATTGCTGTAGAGCAGCAGCCCAGCCTGGACAGGCAGCACCAGCACTGCCATGCCTGCCTGCCCCACACTGCAGGGACAGCAGGCAGGGAACAGGATGGAGCAGGCAGAGCCCAAGTCTGGGAGCAAGACCCACATGTGCAGCCCCTCTGCTGTGCCCCACTGCATCCTGCCAGGCACAGCAGCCCATGTGTGGAGGGGTCCACAAGCCCCTCACCTCCCCCATCTCCCACACTGACTGCTATCTCTCCTGGGAGGTTGTCATGGGAACAGTGCGCTGTAGGTACCCCTCACCCTGGGTGCCTCTCCTTGCATGCCATGGTGATTCTGGATGGAGGGCCAGCACAGTCTGTATCCTTTTCAGGGCCTGGCAGGGTGGGCAGGGAGGGCATGAGGGGCTCCAATCCATGAATGTTCATAGGATGCTGGTGGTACCCATGGACGGGGGTCCCCGCATGCACACATCCCTCCTGCAAGGCCCAGAGCATCCCTGTGACCCCTGGCTGGGTGACAGGCTCAGGCACTGCAGGAACAGTGTGACACAGCCCCAGTGCCGGCAGCCGCACTGCCTGCCCACTCCCACGGTGAGCCAGCGCTGCCTGTTCTTCCCCGGCCCACACACCCTGCACGGAGCCAGCAGCTCCTTCCCCAGTTATTTGGGGGATTTTAACCCTGTAGCACCCACTGGTTGTAACAGAATGGGTGCCTGCACCCATCCTGGCACCAGACGCATGCTGAGGACAGGAGGCAGGATTTGTCCTTGCTGACAGAGCCAGTGGCTCAGCGAGAAGCCGGACTGGCAGTGCCTGGCCATGGCTGCACGCCAGTGTTGGCAAAGTGACCCTGTAGAGGCACCCAGCACCACCAACCCACTCCACCTCCCCAAAGAGGGGGACGTGGATCTCCATCCCTGCACCAGCCCTGAGCTGTGCTTCTCTCCCCACTCCCGCTGTGCCCCACAGCAACTGCAGCCCCACATCCCCATCTCTGTTGTTTCATATGAGTCCTACATTCTGCACCACTCTCCCCACTGGACCCCACAGCACTCCTGCCCCCCTCACCCCTGTCCTTGCAGGCCCCTCTCTCACCAGTGCAACCCCCCACCTGCAGCCCTGCCGCATGTCTGCTGCCATCTGCCTCTCCTTTTTGATTAGTATTAATTTTTAATTATTATTATTGACAGGGCTGCCAGCTTGGCTGCCAGCTGGGACAGCTACCCAGCATGAGACAGGCCGGGGGCAGCCCTGGCACTGGTGTGCTCACTGGGTGGCTCCTGGCAACCACTGTGCCCACCCGGGGGGGTCCCCGAGTGTCCCCTGGCACCTTCTGGCCCTCAGAGAGGGACCATGGAGTGCAGGACTCAAGGATGAAAGTCATTGTGTCCCCAGAGGGTGGGTTCTGAGTGGGCACTGCCAGCCTCCCAGCCTAGCTGGGCTGTGGGGATGTTAGGAGCCCATAAAGCCATGGAGATAAATGGCTCCTATTATTTTTTCCAATCAAATGAAATCCCACCGTGGCTGCACGAGAATGGCGATGAACCACAGCACTACAGCAGCCTCTGCTCCCCCGCCCCGGTTAACCTTGACCTTCCTGGGTGACAGGGTTTGGGGTGCCCCATGGGAACAATGCCCTTGCTGCCCCCGGCATTGGGGTAAGGGGACAAAGACAGCAGGGGGCTCAGCCCCAGAGGCAGGTGGGGGGCTATGGGAGGGCCAGATGGGGCAGTGCAGTGGCTTAAAGGGACAGAGGGACAGGCAGCCCTGGGTCTCATACACTTCACACTGTCACTGCTGGGGAGGAGCATTAATGGTGTGTTTTAAGGGGGTCTCGGCCCCCTCTCCTCCAACTTCAGCCTTGTTACCCCACATATGGCTCTGCCTGCCTCTCCTCTGGGGACCTGGGGTAGCTCTGTCACCCCACTGCAGCCAGGGTGTACCCTACCGCCGGCCAGGCAGGGACCCCACCGCAGGCAGGGCAGGCTGCCAGCCCTGCCGTGCCGGAGCTGGCCAAGGCCAGGCGAGCGGCACCATCGCGTGGCGAGGGACCGGCGGTACAGGCAGCGCAGGTAGCACCCAGGCTGCTGGCACACATCACCCGTGCGGGACCTCCGGACAGGGCAGGCAGAGCCGACCCTCGCTCCCTCGCCTGCAGGCACCCTAAGTCGGGGGTGTTGCCTTTCTCCCCACACTGTCCCCTCACCCTGGTCCTGCTGCCTGCAGCACCTCCAGCCCAGTTGTCCTATAGGGAAGGGTAGTGGGGTCCTGCCCCCCCTACACCTGCAGAGAGAAGTGACCGAACGACAGCACGTGATGCAAGGACACAGGGATACAGCCTGGCACGCTGCCTGACAGGAACGAGCTCCTGTCTTCACCCTCTTAGCGGCATCTTCCGCCTGGCACAACGGCAATGTGGGGTGGTGGAGGGCAGGCAGAGCCCTGGCATAGCTTCCCCAGGGGAGGTGCCCTGGTGTCCCTGCTGCTGTCCCCTGGAGAAGGGCAGCTGAGTCCTGGGGACATGGTTCTATGTAGCCGCAGCAGCAACCCAGGGCAGTGCAGGGCTCAGCAAGCTCAACCCCACGGGCTGCACTGCAGGCAGCCGAGACCCCAGGGGTCATGGCTGCACCAGCTGCCTGCCAAGCTGCGACCAGACAGGTCTCAAGCAACTCCAAGAGCACAGATGTGGTCGATACTTCGTCCTTCTGAGGGACCAGCTCTCTGCAGAACCCGGCTTCAGACAGAGCAGTGCTGACACAGCACCATGGGGGATGAGTGACCCTGACTCTGGGCTCATGGGGAGGCACAGATGGGCTGGACGTGCTGCCCTGGATAAGGTGTAACCCTAGGCTGACATGGAGGGCTGCTGGAGAGGATGGAAGATGCTCCTCCTGCATCAGAGCTGCAGTGAGGGCAGAGCTGCAGGCAGCACTGTCAGTAGGTGAGCAGACAGCTCCACCTCGAGAACCTGACTAGGCAGAGAAGGAGGACAGATCCAACAATCAAACACACAAATAAAAGATGGAAGGACAGAGTGCAGGCTGGGCTGAATCTGGAAGGGAATACAGGGGCCTCTCTGCAGCCAGGGTCCAGGACAGGGAGGGACAGCAGAAAGGAGGAGCCAGCAAAGTCAGGGCTCAACAGACTGAGGCTGTGAACACGTAGGTCTGGCACCAGTAAAGCCTTGGGAAGCAAACAACTTTGTACCACCTGTGCTGCAGGTGTCTGTGGGAGGTGATGCAGCATAGGGACAATGCTGTACTGCAGCCCCAGCACCCACCCTGCTGGGATACTGACAGCCCTCAGCTAGGGAGATCATCTTCCTGGGAGGGCAGAACCACATCTCACTGATGTGCAGGGCTCAGGAGAGATGGGAACCAGCTCACCAGGCTGAGTTCCAGCACTCCCTCCCATGCCCAGGCTTACAGGGCAGTGAGCTGTGCCTGTGCCTCAGCCAGGGAAGACAGAACCCGGCATCATCCTGGGGTCTATCCAGGGTCCCCCAGAGCAGAGAAACACCCTCACAGCCCCAGGGAGAGGGCCACTGGTCCCAGGCACTAGAGGAGGCAGGGGAACATGCCCCATGGCACAGTGCTGTGCTCCCAGCCCTGCTCACCCAGAAAGGGGGTGGGGGGCCAACACATCATCCCCTTCCCCAAACAAGAGCCACCCCAAATTTCCAGAGCTCTAGAGACACAGACCATACTCAGATGCAGTCATTCATTCTGAGACAGTACATGGGGACCCCACAAGCAGCTCACTGCTATCCCCACAATCACAGCACAAACTTGGCATTGGGGAGGGAGCTGCTCTTGGTGGCTGTGTCTGCGTGGGCCTGGTACCCGATGGTCACCTTCTGTGACAGGCCCAGGTGCTCCTTGTAGACACGCCTGCCGGAAGGAAAGGGCTGCATGAACAGGGCAGCACTTCTGCCACTGGCTCCCTGCCCAGAGACCCCATTCCCCCCCAGAACTAGCCCGGTACACACTGCATTACCCAATGTGGGTGACCCCTTCCTGGTTTTCCGCTTCCCGGGTCCAGATGGCAATCTTGTCCCCCTTGGTGCGAATGTTGATGACAGCCCCGCACACCTCGTCGCTGTACTCATCAAACATCTCCCCAATGAGGCACAGCAGCTGTCAGGAAGAAAGGAGCCCAGGACAGTTCCTGCTGGGGCTCAGCCCTGGGGCAGGTGGAGTGCCACAGCCAGAACCCCCAGGCCAGCCCGAGAAGGGCTGCACTCACCGTATCCAGCCAGAAATGGTCCAGCTCAGTGTGCCGCTGCTGCTTGGACAGGGTGACGAGCCAGCGCCCGCCACGCTTGTTCTGGCTGTCTTCCCACATGGGCTCGATCCCATCCTAGGGACGGGCAAGGGGATGGTCGGGGCACCAAGCACTGGGCCAAAGCTGGCTCTGGAAGCTGTGAATATCCAGCCGGATTTCTCCTCCCCCCTTACAGCCAGGGCATCCTGCCAGCCCCACCAGCACTCAGTGTGCCCCTGTAATGCTGGGCACAGTGGGGACTGTGAGCATGGGTTATCATACCTTGAAGAGGGAATAGTCACAGCCAGATGAGAGCTTGCTGGCAGGCTGAATGTGGCTGTACAACCTGTACCAGGTGGAGACACGGAAGCAGATGAGAAGAGGTGCCTCAGAAACCTCCAGCACCCTCCTCTGGCCCAGACCTCCCCACCAGAACACCTCCAGAAGGGACACTCACGCCCAGAAATCCTCCACAGTGCTGAATTTGGTGACGAGGCGCAGGTTTGCCTGCCACATCTTGCTCTTGTCATTCTTGAAAAACCACAGTGCCCATCTGGGGAGGGAGAGAGTGTTCAGCCATGCTGGAAACCCCCTCCAGACCCAGCACACCCCTCTCAGTGCTGGGAGAGGCTGCCCATGGCTAGGCTCCCCGTACCTGTTCTGCAGGGGGTGCTTGTCCAGGACCTCTTCTGGGAGCAGCTCTTGCTGCCGAGCCCTGCGCCGGCGCCGCTTCTCCTGCCTCTGCTGGGGAAGAGGGAACAGCCCTGAGGAGCCCCATGGCTACCCCAGCAGGCAGCCTGCAGCCCGTCAGCTATGCTCACACTAGGAGCCCCAAGGGATAGCAGAGCTGCCTAGGCCTGCCTCCCCAGCTCACAGGGTGAGCACCCACCTGCTCTCCTGTAGCCATCCTGCCCAGCACATGCTTCCCTGGGCTGCCCCTGGCTCTTAAATGCCCACAGGCGGGCAGGACGAGGAGCTGTCACAGCTGCAGCTGGTGGGGCAGGAGGGTGGTGTCCTGGGAGGGGGTGCCAGGCCTGCCCCTCCTGGAGAGCAGGGAGATGGGGGATTCCCCTCTAGGGCAGGGAGCTGGGAGATGAGAGCAGGTGCTCAGAGTGGGATGGGATCAGGATGGGGAAGTAGAATGGGGTAAGGTGGAGACCATGTGCGGGGGGGGATCAAGGTGGTGTGGTATGGGCAGGGCAGGATGGTAGACAAAGAGGATGGGGTAGCATCAGATTGGAGGATAGGAGTGGGATCAGGTTAGGATCAGATGGAACAACATGTAATAGGAATGGGATGGAGAGGGTGTGGGATGCGATGGGCAGGAAATGGGATCAGAATTGGATCGAGTAGGATGGGAAAAGAGTGGGGTGAGATAGGAAGAGGACATGATGAGTAGGGGATCGGGGACAGAAATGGCACAGGGACAGGGTGGAATGTGTTGAGAGTTGGACAGGGACAAGGATGGAACAAGTTAAGGATGGGATGGGATAAGTACAACTTGTAGACAGGAGGTGATGGGATCAGAAGGAGACGGGACAGGGAGAGGATGGGATAGGATCCAATGGGGATCCGAACAGAATAGCATGGGGACAGCGTGGGGTGGTATCACGACGGGTGAGGATGGGGAGAAGGACCTTCCCGGCGTGCTGAGCAGTGCGAGGAGGGAGCCCGCGGGCTGGGGCGGCAAAGGGCCGGGGGCGCCGCTGCCGTGCGGGGCGGTGCGGGGCGGTGCGGGGGCGGCGGGGCACGGCACGGCTCGGCACGGCCGAGCACGGCTCAGGCTGGCTCAGCCCGGCGCGGCGCGGTCCCCCCCGCGCATCACGGCGCAGCGCGGCGCAGCGCGGCCCCGGCACAGCCGCACTGAGCCCGCCCCGCCGCAGCCCGGCCCGGCCCGGCCTGGCCCGCCCGTCCCCGCCGACAGCGAGCCAGGTCGGGCGGGCGGCGGGGCCGGGGGCGCGGGACCGGGATGCGCGGGGATGGGATGCGCGGGGAAGGGATGCGCGGGACCGGGACGCGCGGGACCGGGACGCGCGGGGCGGGCGGGCGCGGGGCCGGGGCGGGGTGAAGCCGTGCGGCCTCTCCCCGCAGAGCCGCCATGGAGGTGTTTATGAAGGGCTTGTCCAAGGCCAAGGAGGGGGTGGTCGCCGCCGCCGAGAAGACCAAGCAGGGGGTGGCCGAGGCGGCCGAGAAGACCAAGGAAGGGGTCCTCTATGTCGGTAAGGACCGGCTTGCTCTGCCAGCCCCCTGCCTGCCCCCTGCCAGCCCGTGCCTGCCCCCCCGGATAATCCCTGCCCGTTCCTGCCTGCACCTGCCGGACCCTCTGCCTGCCCTTGCCTGCTCCTGCGTTTGCCCTTGCGTCCTCCTGCCCATCCCCCTGCCGTCCCCCTTCTGCTTCCACCTGTCCCCGGCCCCTCTCCCGCCTTTCCCGGCCCCTTCCCCGTCACGACCACCCTGAGGCAGGGTGCCCCGGGGCAGAGGGTCGGTGCCCGCAGTGCCCCCCAGCCCACCGGGAATCTGCAGGCGGGAGGGTGGGCTCTGCGGGCAAGAGCAGAGCCGGGGCTGGACTCCAGGCTGAGGGGATGGGACCCCCGGGGACTGGACCCTCTGCGGTCCCAGGCAGTCTGAGCCCCAGGGTCCCTTGGCTCCGTGCCAAGGATGCTCTGGGACAGGAGTGCAGAGGGACTGTGATGGAGGTGGTGACCCCCTTGCTGGGAAGTGCCTGGCTTGGAGCAGCAGGGCTGGGACCATGTTTTTCCCCCTTGGAGAGACAATGCCCTGGAATGCATCCCACGCCAGGAGAAGCTCCCCTGCTCCCAGTTGGTGACTAAAGAGTCCCTTTGTGCTGCCAATTGGGGTCTGGGTCTATTTGGTGCCAAGTCCTAGAAGACATGGCTGGCAGGAGAAGCAGGTCCTAGGCAGGTTGTGTGCCTGGCTGTGGTGTTGGAATGCTGGGGGCAGGAGCTGAGGCCCCTCCGGACTGGAGCAGGAGGCAGGAGGGCGCAGGGCTGGGTCTCTTCCTGCTCCAGAGGGCATTAGCTCTGTGGGAATGCTGAGGCCTCAGAACTGTTCCCTTGGGCAGTGGTGGATGCCTGCTCTGGACCCACACTCTGCCCAGGATGTGTGTGCTGGATGGGGGTCCAGCAGCCTAAGGAGTGCCTGGAGGCTCCATCCTGCAGAAGCTGCCCAGTTCCTGCCTTTCCTTCCAACCTAGACACCCCACCTCCATTCCATGGGGTGTCCTGAGTGGTATCACTCTGCCTGAAGGAGCCTGGCAGGATTGTCATGGCCAGCAGCAGCACCCAGCCCTGGGCACTCTAGTTGTGGGGCTTCCTGTGCTGTGTTGGCACCAGCTCTGGGTTTGGATCCTGGCTCCTATGGGAGATTTTACTCAGCAGCATGGTTGGCATTCAGCCTGCCTGGCTGGGCCCTGACAGGGTGCTGGGCCCTGGGGTCTCTGCCCTGCCAGGCACGGGGCAGTGGCCCCAGTCCTGAGGGTCCTGCAGGGACTGGAGAAACCTTGCAGAGAGCCAGGCGGGTCCTCAGCCCCCAGGCTGCCCTGGCGTGGCTAGGCTGGGATGTGGGCAGGATGCTGCCCTGGTTCCGAGCCCTGCAAGGGTCCTGGGCACAGCATGTGGCAGAACCTGGCCACTGGCCTCTCTAACCTGATCTCTGTCTCTTTCTACCCTCAGGGAGTAAAACCCAAGGTGTGGTGCAAGGCGTAACCTCAGGTATGGTCTGCTTTGTCTCCCCACTGCTGTACCCCTCTGGCCCTGAGAGCGTGGCCACACTAACGAGATCAGAGGCTAATTGAGGGGCTGATGTCACTCTGCTAAAGCCTCTTATATAACTTATATCCCGCAACCAAGGATTTGCAGTGGCGGCTCACACTCCCTGCCCAGCTGCAGAGCACTGTCCCGGCCCCCTCCCCTCCTCAGCGCCCCAACAGGGAAACGGGAAGAACCTGATCCTGCCCAGTGACTCCCCAGCAGCTCCCCCTGGGTGGTGGAGGGCATGAAGTCACAGCTGGGCTCCCCTCCCTGGCACGGGGTGGGGGGCACTGATGGGCAGCCCTGGCTCTTGCAGTGGCTGAGAAAGCAAAGGAGCAGGCGTCCCAGCTGGGCGAAGCAGCGTTCTCCGGTGCGGGCAACATCGCGGCAGCCACTGGGCTGGTGAAGAAAGAGGAGTTCCCTTCGGATCTGAAGGTGAGACCCCCCCCGGATGCTGCGGGGAGGCTGGCACGTGCCGAGGTCTGGCGGGGAGCACCTTGGCTGCTCCCCAGTCCCGGGGGAGGGACCCTGAGGGTGCTCAGGTGCTCTGCCTGTGCCCAGGCCAGGCGGGCATCGCGGCCCTGAGCGTGTGGGCCGTGTGTGCGGCCGCGTGCGTGGGGCGTGCGGACGTGTGCGCGCGCGGGCCCCGCCATGGCGGCCGGCGGCGCGGGCCTGCGGCGCATCGCTCCGGCGGCTGCGAGGTGACCTGACAGCTGCGGGAGGGGCAGCGGGTTCCAGCTCGCCGCCCCATGAGCTGTTGGCTTCCAGCTTAGCCCAAAATAGCATCAGCTGAAGAAATGAGGCCATCGCCGCCACCGTCGCTGTGCGGCGGGATCGGCTGCCCCCCTTTCCCTCCTGCCAGCCCCGGGGAGGGGTTACCCAGCACCGCCTTCCCCTGACAGGGATGCAGGATGCTCCTGCAGCACTGCCAGCCCCTGGAGCTTGACAGGGCCTGCACGGTGCCAGCACCCGGTTCCTGCCCGGGGCTAGGAGAAGCACAGGGATGTGCACGCACAGCCCCTGGTCCCACGGACTTGTACATGTCACCTCCCAGCTAAGCAGGCTGCTGTGTGCTCAGGGTGCCGCTGTTTCCCTCTACGTGGAGCCCCCTGTATGCTACTTGCATTGCTGGTTTGGCAGGGGCAGGGTGGGTGGGTGCCACATGGGGGGCTGCGTGTGTGGGACTGACCCCTGGCTCACTCCCAGGCAGAGGAGGTGGCCCAGGAGGCTGCGGAGGAGCCGCTGGTCGAGCCACTGCTGGAGCCAGAGGGGGAGAACTACGAGGAGCCCCCGCAGGTGAGGGGATAAGGTGGCAGGGTGGGCACAGGGCACTGTGGAGGGCACAGTGTGACAGTGTTCACAAAGATGGCACGGGGCTGGGGGAAAGAGGGACTCTGTGCCCCACCTGAGCTCTCTCACTAACTCTTTCTTTACCCATCCCACAGGAGGAATACCAGGAATACGAGCCAGAGGCATAATGGACCCCCATCCTTGCCTCTTCCACCAGCAGCACAACGAACCGCTGGTAGCCCCCTGCTCCTCCCCAGCCGGCCCCGGCCGGTGCCTGTGTGCCGGGGAGGAGCAGGGGTGCCCCTGCCCCGTTCGCTCACGAGTTCTTCCTCCAGTTCCGTTCCAAGGGACCGTGTCCATGTCTCCGTAACATGTCTAGCAGTGAGAAAAACCCGCTGTGTCCAAGCCCCCAAGCCCCGGCACGTGCCCGAGCCGTGGGTGCTGCCCGCAGGGGCTGGTGTGTGTGCGTGTGCGTGTGCGTGTGTCCATGAAGCCCGGGTTTATGGCTCTGTATCCCTCCCAGTGCCATAAACCCCGGCTGCGTCCCGGTGTGTCTGTGTCTGTACAAAGCATGTTTACCTGCTCGCGGGCTGCTGTACATTTCGCTTGCACGCGTGTCCCTGTGGTTCTGCTCTGGTCATCGTGGAACTATTTTTTTTTATATATATCTCTATCTATGGGTGGACGGGTCTTTTGCCTTTGTGAACCCTTGGCGTCCAAGCCCGCTCCCCAGCCTGCTGGGTGGTGACGGTGCCTGCGCCCCCCCCCCCGAGGTCCCATAGTGCCGAAGCTGTGTTGTGACGTGGCATGGATATTCCCCCGTCGCTGGATGTGCAATACGAGGGCA